ATTTGGCCTTCTAGGAAGGGTGGTTGACTTTTCGTGATTTTCCTGATCTTCCTGTTTTTTTTTTCCTGTTTCATGCGTAGTATATGCCCCGCCCACCCCTCAACGGCTTCATTCGATGAGGAAGGACAGAGGTCAGAGGGCCGGGGGGAGGGGGGTCGTACCACCCCAAAAAAGGGGGGTCGTACGGACTCGCCCAAAATCCTCAACCAATGATGTGCCCTGCCCCACCCCTTTCTCGATGGAAAATCTTTGGGTGAAAAACTGGAAAATGTGGGAATTGGTAGGTAGGTGTTGGGGAAGGGGGGGGGGGTCGTACTGACACCACCATTTCACAGATCACGATGCGATACCCTGACAACAGCGTCCGGGTGGAGCCGGAATTCCCCTCAAAGTGAAGGAATCTATGGAGGGAGATTGGCGGGCCCCAAAACCAAGAACTAGCGTACGGAAGAGAAACGACGAAGGCGGGGTAACCAGGGACTGCTAGAGATTGGTCCGAATCTGGAGGGAATAACGCGTCCTTTTAAATCTCTGCACATAGCTGAGGCTGCAGGAAACGGAAGTTCCTCATTTGCTTTGCAAACACTGGCGGCATAGCCGCGCGAAGTGATGTTGTACTTCAAGAACAACATGGCGACTCATTAGGACCTTCAGAGGAGAAGAGTTTCATGAGGTGGCATGAGGACACACCATGCGTTGGGGATTCCTCAGTGCGAGAGAGGGGCAGCAGTACTTAGTATGGAAAATTTTCTTCTGATTGTCGGGCATTCCCGTTTTCGGCGCACTGCACCCACTTAGCCCAGCTGCGGTGCTGTACTGATTGGTATCTTGTCCCCTCTCATCTTCCCGCGCGGGGAATGCTCAGACTGGAGGTCGTACAGAGGCAAATTTACCTCAGCTTCTCATGACTCATAGATTCTTCTCACAGATAAAAATTCTTTGACTCTTAAACAATCTTCAAAGGTCCCTAAGCCTTAAAAATCCTTTAAGGTAGGTGGCACAATAAATCAACGAGGCGTACAGGGTTATGCGCCTAGTACAGAAGGATGGTGTGCCGTTCAGCGAACGCTGTCTTGTGCCTTTCCCAAAAAAGGACACCGCTACAGCGCCTGAACCAGACAGGTGCAACATGCACCGGAACGCCCATTGGCGCGCAACCACCCGCCCACAAATGGCCGGACACTCATATCGACGCTTTTCGCTTATCCCTCCATTTATGAAGTGCAATCTATATGGAGTGTTGCTACATGGATATATGTAAACACAGGTGCAGCCGTTTCTGTCAAAGCGGTTTTTGGCACTACGACAAGAGGAAGCTCGTCCAAAAATGCTCGTTCAGTTCCGTGCAGAACAAGGTTAATTCGAACGATTTTCTCCGTTCAACCTCGCTTTTTCTCATTTTGCCACTATTTAGCACCTCTGCTACCAAGTGTCAAATTATCGTGCCTTAGGCCTTTCTTTTGTTAACTACTCGACCAAACCCCTCCATTCTAGGTTTCCGCCGTTGCCTCAAACGTTTTTGAAGAACCTGGCCATAAGTACGAGCAACTACAAATTAAAAGCTTCGAGCCATTTTTAGGCCTCTGAGAGGAGGAGAAGGTCGTAATATTAGGCCAGTAAGGTTCCAGCTAACAACCCCGTTGGCCGACGTAATTAAATATGAGGGATAAGAGTTTCGCGGGGCGTGCCAATACGGGGGCGGAGGGGGGGGGGAGGGAGAAACATGGCGTACGAAACAGCAAGCGGGGGAAATGCCTTGCGGTCAGCGAAACTAGATGCGACCTCCTTCCACCAAATACGACCCCTCCCCCTCTTCTACTGAACAGGATCCGCATTTTTGATGAGACTGTCTCAAACATGCTAGTGCCCTGGTGGTGCAAGTGAACTCCCCGGGGTATTCGTGCTGTTTTTCCGCTATGTAGGAGAATCTGCAGGTGTGAATGAATATCGTGGCTGCAAAAAGAAGTTGTAACTTGTAGGACGCGACTCCCCTTATTTCATAGAACTATCCTTTTCCTTAGTTGTTTACTACATTGAACTTAATGGCGACAAATGGCAATTTCACGTGGAAATCACTCTCGAGCCTAATGCAGCTTATAAAGGCATGACCGATGCCCCTTCTCATCGCCAGTTGGCGATAGTGCCTGGCTATCAACATCAAGGCGAGTTTTATATAGTGAGAACGTGCTACTTTCTTCATTCCGGAAGTGGAGGGGGCGTGGCTGTGTACTTTGTTTGGGTATGTCGGAGGATTCATTCTTGTGGGATCTTACATATGTGACCAAAGCCAGGCGTACGTCGAGGAATCGTTCATGGGGGTGGTATTCGGTCAGGCGAGGCATCCGTAGTTCTTGATGAATTTTTTATACTTTGTTACCCCCGTTTCAGACAGAAACGTCCTTAAAGGCAAGCGGTACGATAAATCGACAAGCACACGGGGTCAAACGCCTAGCCGGAAAGAACATTCTGCCCCTTAGCGGGCGCTGCGTGGGGCCTTTTCGAACCAAAGGCGCAGTTATAGCGCCCAACGGAAGGTGCAACATGCTTACCTACACGCCCACCGCGACTACGCGCCCACTGATGGCCGGACATTCGTATCGACGCTGCTACTCTTATCCCTTCATTCATGAAGTAGAAATCATGTAAAGCGTTGCTATATGACGTGCAGTCGTAACCATCAAAGCCATTGGTGGCACTATGCCAACGGGAAACTCGTCCAAAAATGCTCCTCCAGTGCCGTGCACTTTTTCGCCATTTTCCTTCTATACAGCACTGCGGCTGTTTTTTTAGCAAGTACCAAACTATCGTGCCATGTGCCATTAAGTCCGCGCGACAGACCGGAGCGCAGCGCTGATGTTCCTCGTGATAAGTGATGAAATAAGGGCAGCTAATGTGTTCAAATCACGGGGCGTGGTAACGGTCTTGTTTGGATGTCTTTGACCTTTTAGCACCTCTTAAGTCTCGCATCAATTAACACCTCTAAATTTTCCACGCAGTAAGTCAAATCAGTGTACCTCTATCTTTAGAGCATCTTCGTCGTTCCCTTCTAAATTCCCATGTTTCTTTTCCGATACTTTTTTACTGAAACAGGTAAATAACTCGGAATAAACAGAAGTTACTCTTATCCAGCCGAAACGAGTTCTATTCAGTTCTTTTTTTGCTTTTGTCGGTTTCAGTGATATCAAAGATGAGCAGTTATTGGTGCGTAGAGATCGATCTTCTCATAGAATTTTGTTATTTTGTTTTTTTTCTTTCTTACGATTTTTAGATTTGGCGCGATCTACAGGAGACCGTCTTTATATGGTAGCTTTTTTAACTGGAATCGCTTAATTAACTCATGTATGGTGTAGGAACTTGAGAAGATATGAGAATTAGGGAGCAGGAGAAACACTGCGTGTGCCGATCTACACTTGGATGGGCTCTCATCAACCACAACGGGCTGCGTTCAGGCCCTACTGGCTATCTCCATTCTCACATCCCGTTTCGCACTGTACTAAGCTATAATTACATCTAACTACGATTTCATCTTGTGAACGGGCTGAACTTCACTTTAGTGGGGAATCGACTAAAATGATGCTTCAGTAGCTTTGAAGGAGCGACTTTCCAGAAAAAAAATTAGTTCAACTGCGAGTTAGAGATAATAGTTTTTCATTTGAAACTTTGCCTTCAAGAATGACAAAATTCCTGTCAAGTATTGTCCCATCTTAAAATTAATCGAGGTATTAAATCTGCTATAATAGTTTGCACAGTTCATCAAGCTCCTTAAAGACACACGTGTAGCTCAAAAGCATAGAGGGTGTATGAGACTATCAGCCCCTCAGCTGTCGATGTGTCGTGGTCCCTCCGCTCAAAACTGCAGGGGGTAGAGTACGTTGCAGTGGGAAAGTCGTAATTCCTTGCTACCCCGCCCCGTTTCGCAAACTCTAACACCGTCCGCGCGGCGCGTGTCGCGTGCAGCTCTCTTGGCTTTTTGCCAAGTCCTGTAATTGCGCTTTGGAATACAAGTACAACGCAATTTCTTTATGCGGATAACATTTTAGGTGCTGCAAAATAAGAACCGAAGATGACGAGGGCTAGAACTCAAGAGCAACTGTGCTGCTTCTGCAATAGCTCAGAGGCCGCGCATTCCCCAGAACTGACATAGAAAACGAACAACATGAAATAAAACATAACATACAAGCAACGATTTCATACCGCTCATGCCTTAAGTGGAATAGAGTGAAGATGAAAGAAGGCTAGAAATTAAGAACGATGAATGTAGATGTAAATAAGACAAATTTGAAAAAAACTAAGGAAACGCAAATTAGTTAAAATCGCGTGTGCATTTCTGCGATCCGGCTCGAATCCGGCTCTACAGCTATAGATTCAAACTAACGAGAGGGACGCTTAGGCCGTTTTCATATTTCATGTTTTGTGGAAGCGGCCTCGAGGGATACTTGCACAGCACACAGTTGCTCTTGAGTTCGAGGCTGTATCATTCTGTTCTTATTTTGCGCACACTACAAATGTTTATCCGCATAAAGAAGTTGGCGTATTGTACTCGTATAAACAAAGCGCTATATACAGGACTTGGCAAAAAGCAAGAGAGCTGCAACGGGACAGGGCCGGCGACGGTTTAGATTTGCGAAATGGACAGGTGTAAGGCAAGGGTTACGACTGTCCTGCGCCCCGTAGTCATGACCGTTCTGGGCGGGGGACCAAGACATATGCGCAGCTGGGGGGCTCGTATGATCTCATACACTCTAATGTGTGTGATGTACCATGTGTCTTTAAATATCCCTTCTGCAATTATTCTGCCGGTGAAATATTTTCCTTGTGTAGATAGCTTGGTTCGCAACGTGGTGATTTTCCCACAGCTGTTGTTTGACGGAGAACGATTGGGCGGTCTTGGGCGACGAAATATCATTTACAGAAGTGGCCCCGCCCACCTGGGGGCGAGATATGCCAACAGCCCTAATCTTTGAATGCATTTTGTGGAAGAGCACAATTCGATTCAGTTTTTTGCGTTAATACCTACGTATTGCCTTTTCTTCGAATTTTCCCTCCACTCGTATCATTTTTTTTTTGCCTCCACTGCTGCTAATTTTTTGATCTACTGATCTCTACCTGCCGAGCAACATCGCTTTTTCGAAGCATTCGGTCCAGGCTTGGAACTTATTATGAGCATTCCATCTGGTCTATGTTGGACCTTTTACTTCACTGATGAGTCAAGTGCATCTACGAGCTCGTAAGAACGTTGAAATCGATGAGGTGGAACCGAGAAATGTGCCTTTAACAACCAGTACTCATTGTCAGTTAGAGCGATCAGTAGATATCTAGCTTGCGCAAACTGCTACTACTGTCTATTTATCAGAAATTTATCTGTGATAACTTGTATTTCCCAATGTAATCATGCGATTTTATTCAGTCTTGATTGTATAGTTATGGTTCTACAAACGACGGGGTGTGTGTAGCGCAGGCAGAAGCCAGTCTTTCACGCCAGTTGTTGATGGGACAGCGCATGGCACATTGGTGGAAGCAGGCTTGGCAGCGTTCAAACAATGCCCGTCACCGCCATATCATTTGGCTGTTACCTATGGCTACTGGAACGCTTGTTGTTTCCCTCTTTGGTGAGAGCGCACCAGCCTCTGCTTTTTAGAAAGGCGTCTATACAACTGCCTGTTTTGGGCGAGTTTCTTTAGCACTAATTTAGCTCTCCTGCACTTGTTTCTATTGAGCTAGTGAAGCGCCTTAAGTTGTCATGAAATATGAATCTCCTGTTTATCTCACACTCTTCGCTATAATGGCACGTGGATAGGCTGAACTTTAATCTGATTTCTTTTTTTGAAGCATTTTCGTAACATGAGCGGGTCAGGCCGCCTAACTGTTTGTCTCCTATTTCTAGAGCGCTAAATGTTGCCGACGTGTAAAGATGATGAGTACAAATGTGCTTGCCTGGCAATCGAATGCCCACGAGTATTCAACTATTCAGTGGCACTCAAGGAAGAATGCTGGATGAAAGAGTGTTTTATCAGTAAACGAGCGCTCGATACTTCTACGTTGTTACAGTGTGTTAGAATAAGTATTTCAGCACTATTTAAGCCTTTGCAACCCTCAGAATCTAAAATTCTCGGCGGGAGGACATTCATTTTCGGCGTCGGCAGCATTTCCGCCCGGACTGGAGCCAGACGTCGAGAGGAGCGGTAAGACCCGTTCCTTCCGTTGTCTGCTCTCTGCTATGCTCCTGAGGCCCCTGGGGGAGGTAGGAGGGAATAACTTCTCACCCTTTGGAAACTCAAGGGAGTGGAGGAATGATTCATCTAAGTGGCATCAGACCTCGGTGCGATGCGTCGCAGGGGGATGCTAAAGACGTCGCAGCTCGCCGCTTCATTGCGCGCGAGGATGGGCGCGGCGTCTTCTCAATTTGCGTTGTTCTGTTGATTTGAGCACCCGATTTCATGTATAGTATAGTTTCGCGTGACGATGGGGCGTGTTTTAGGCGGATGAGTTTGAGCGCGGTGCACAACCGTTCTCGGGATGCACAGACTGGTTGAAGCGAGAGGTGAAGGATGTTCATGTCGTTCGTATACTTATGTTCCCAAAACTGGTGTCACGTACTGCTTCACACTGGCAGAGAAAGGAGTTTTCCACGTGCACACTAGTGCTGCCGACACGCCCTTCGTCCGATGAACTACAGTGTAGATATGATATCGTAAGATATAGGGTGTCGGAAAGATTGAAAATTTGTGCTCTCATTTTTGAGAAAGGCGTAGCGCGCGAAGGCCATGAGCAAATCTGTAGATCAAAACATGGGAAGATAGAGGATTGTCTGTAGATCAAATCAGCAGCTGACCAATATTTCATTTCGTCATTAGCCTTTGTTTTGACCAATCGAATAATGTGCGACAGACGCTACAGTCGACGCATCCTACTTCATCTTCACCGTTCCGGCCGCTCCGCCATTCAAGCGAGGCATGAGTCGCTGTCGTCGATGGGTGGCAATGCACCCTCTCTTCAACCTGCTACAGGTGGTACGATCGCTTCGCAGTGGGAGAGTTTACTCGGAACACTCGATGCGGACGGCCCTCCTCTTACTCCAAGCCTGGCATCGTGGCTTGGGTTCTGTGAGCGGATCTGCCAAGTCATGAGGGAGTTGGAGGGACGACTTCCACTCCTCGATCCACTATTCACGGCGGAGCTTCATAATTGCTCAGGATGAAAAGTGGATCTCGTACGAAAACCCGGATAGGAAACTGGAGTGGCTGCCGTCGGATCAAAAGCCGGAGCCCGTTCCAAAGCGAGGCTGCCACGCCAAGAAGGACTTGCTCTTTTCTTCTGCTCCACCGGCTGTATTTACTACGAGATTCTTCATGAGAGTAAACTACTGTTATAGATATTGTGAGCAACTACGAGAGCTGGTGTCCCGAGCTCCAGTTTCCCACCAATACCGGGGCAAGTTCCACATCGTCATGGACAACGCCCGACCACATCATGCGAAGGCGACAAGGGACGAGCTGGAGAATTTAGGAATCGAATGGCTGCCCCATCCTCCGTATTCACCTGACCTTAGCCCTTGTGATTACCATGCTTTCAGGAGTCTCCAGGCTTACGCTACGGGTAAGATGTTCAACAACCATCAGGATGTATGGTCGATGAATGGATTGCGTCCCGGCCTGCTTCCTTCTGGAAGGAAGGTATCGATGCCCTGCCCAATCGGTAGAGAGACGTCGTGGCTAAGAAGGGCCACTATCTTGATTACTGATTTTTCGCTTTTCTTGTTGTTAATATGTGTTGAATAAAATGACCAATTTTCTCAAAACTTTCCGGACACCCTAATATTTGTGGCAATTTTTGGTTATACATTGTCTTTTGTCGCCTCTACGACCCAAAAACATCGTCCTTTGCTGGGCGCGACGTCGCACGCGACGCCCACTGGCGCGGCGAATCACGATTGTCCTGTCACGTAACCGCGGTCGGTGCTACCTAGCGCCTTACTAGAGCGTCTAAAAATGAGTACCATACTCGTGATCAGGGCCTACATTTACCTCTACAAGCAAATTTATAACAAATTTGGGGAAAAAGTAGCGCTGTAGTTTCAAAACTTGTAATTATGTATGTTTTAAGGTCACTGCCGGCTACATTTCAATTCTTCTGATCGGCTTGGTGGGTAATATACTGGTGATATCTGTTCTACGGAAGCATCCACTTATGAAGACGCACAGCAGGTACTATCTAAACTATGTTTCCTTACCGTAAAATCCTATAGGTAAGGGCGATTTACCTTTGACAAAAGAAAGAACGGGCAAGCACGTGGGTTCCAATATTCCTAAGTAAGTAAGTCATATGAAGAAAGACGAGGAAGTAATAAATGAATGTACAAAAGTCATGGAGGATAAATATGACTTGTAGGGAAAATCCCAGGCTCCTCAACTGGCGCTGTATGACGCATTTGACAACGAATGGTGCTCTCAAAGCGACTTCGCAAGGTCTAACTTTTGAAACAGTCCACCTTCAAATGACCGAGTCTGCGAGGAATTGTTAAGGGCTGCCAGTTTCACCTACTCAACTGCCAGAGTGGCTGTTTTCACCCAAATCTGTTAAGTGGCATTTTTCTTTTGCCTAAGCTTTTCTGAATGGTGAATTGGTGGGAAATTCTTCCTTGAGTATACGTTTTCATAATTATAAACAATTATAATAATTTATGGTTTTCTTGCTTGTTATGCTTCTTATGGAGGTTCTTATGAAGCTCATGGTTATTGTTAAATTTATACGTGTTAAGGATACTTTCTGGGGTTGTCTTTAGGTGTACGGTGGTTTGAAATCATGTCTTTCTACGGTTACGTTCACGTTTTTTGATCAACGGATGAATCCGTCGCAAAAAGTGGTTTTCACAAAAATTAGGGTGGTGTCGCAGATAAGAGAGGAAACAGGAAACGCCTGCTGTCTTGGACTCTGAACAATGTTTCTGGCAACGCCCTTTTTTCCTTCGGATATGAACGCTGCATAGAGCAATCTATAGGTCCACGAGAGTAATGTAAATATTTCCCATTTGCAGTATCTACATTATGAATCTTGCAATGGCCGATCTCATTACTCTAAGCGTTGGTTTACCGTTTGAAGTTATTATGAATTGGAGCCAATATCCTTGGCCATTTCCGGACGTCTTCTGTCATCTCAAAGCGCTTATCGCTGAAACTACAAAGTACGTCACTTTGTAACCCATTATTTTAAAGCCCAAGAATGTTTGCTTCTTGTCAGGTATGTCTCTTATTTATAACAATTTTACTTGTTCTTCTATGATAGATATATACGCATCTTGTCTCATTCGTATTTGTGAAGATCAAACCGCTTCAGACAATGTAGTTTTGATTTACTTCCAGAAGTGGAAATCGGAAATGAGTATTTCATGAATTAAGTAATGGTGCATGAAAGCCAGGCAAAATAACAAACACTTGGGTGAATCATACTTGGTGAAATGAAGAGTTCCACGATATCGGAGAAAAGGCGGCAAGGGTTTAGATGGCAATTCACCAACCCCGCCCCCTAATGTATTCGGATTTTGCGCGATTTCGGCAAATTCGCGATCCGGCGAGTCTGGGAGGGCGCGCCATGCATGGTGTAAGGAGTCAGGCGAATTCCTTATTGGCGTTTTTCCAAACTCGCATCAATTAATGAATCACGCTTTACAAAATTACATTTATTTCCTTATTTCCATACCAATGCATAACCTTCATCTTAGCGCTGATTCTTCCGAATCACGAACTTTCTCAATTAGTGACCTCTCGACATGGCACAAGAAGGGCATGATGGGCACTATCGCCGCGGGCGGGCGGTTGACGCCACAGTCATTGGTGGAAGGGATGAGTGATGTGTGGTCAAACAGCCCTTCCACCAATGGCGTCGGCAACAACCACGCGCCCCAGAAATCGTGCCCACCGTATTTGAACGCTGATCGCGTAGGCGGGATCAGGCGATCTGTTGTACCCTCCTGATTAGTGAGCAACTTCTTTATAGATGGTCAAGGAGGGGGAGCAAAACCATGATTAAGGCGCGAAGGGCCCTTCCTGACTCCGCCCATGCAATCATCTTGGAATATGCATTTGAACTACATGTTCGCACTTCAGCTGATTTAGGCAGCGTTCAGACTTCGCGACGGCAGCGCTTCGTCGCGCGTTCGACGCGATCGATGCAGTCGAAAGCATGCGCATCGATCGCGTCGAACGCGCGACCGAAGCGCTGCCGTCGCGAAGTCTGAACGCTGCCTTATCAACTAGACAGAGTTTATGTAGAAGAAGAGAATACTATAGTAAGATCCGATCGATTCGATCGTTCCAAATGACAAGCTAATCAATTCAAATCCAGGTACATAAAGTGTTATGCGCTGCATGGATCTTGTCAGTTATATCCGCGTCACCGTTTGGATTCTATCATAGAGCTGACTATATCCTAAAAGACTGGCCTGGAACGGAAAACCACGTTCCCGTAAGAGCTTTTCCTCCATCGAATTACCATAATCCACCTATAGTTGTATTATCTGAGCACTACAAATTTAACAGAGTTCAGGTACTTTCGTCAAAAATGTGTATGGTCGCTGTGTTATTTGATCGTGGTTCAAAGCCCATGTACAAGGTGCGGAGCTATACTCGATATCTCGAAAATGGGGAAGGCGTGGTTGCGTACTCGATATGAACGTGGCATAGGATGCGTTTTCCGGCGATGATTTTCATCTGAGAAAAAAGTATTCCAGTCATGGCTCGACAAAAACTTGTTTACAATTGTCCCAAAACGGCAACATCCCACCAAAATGGTAGCCGCAGCCACGTTCAGTGTGGAGTATGCAGCCACGCCCACCTCATTTCCTGGCTATGAACGCCTCTTTTACCAATTTCAACGTGGACAAATTCGAACTCTACTCTGTTTCAGTTCATTTTCCATTTATCGGCGCTCTTGTTCTTTGTTATACCGCTTTCAATTATATTTGTATTGCACATATTTATCGCTATTCACGTAGGTTCTAGACAATGATTCATTCCATATGCTCAGGATAGATATTGATTGATTGAAAAACGTTTCAGGTCCGGTCGTCTCGCAAAGATATTAATCGTGCCGATGCAGATCGAGGCGGAGATGACTTGAACTCCCGACTAACTTTTATTCTGGGTAGGCTACTATTTTATTCAAATCTCTTGGCGCATAAACGACGTCATTTTGTGCTTTTAGTGAGCATTATTGCGCATTGTTCGTCTGCCCATCTGGCCTTTTCAAATACAAGCCTCTCATTTTTCTACTTTGGACAACGAACAATCGTTTACCAACAACCGACCAGTACCTCTTTTTTATATCAGGTATGCTGCTTCACTAGTTATCCAAGTTATTTAGCCGAATAATCAAACTTTTTGAACTTTTTCTCTTGCTTTTCTATCAAAATTGTTTTTAGAAAAACATTAGAAAAACATAGATTTTATGGGTCTTTTGCAGTTGTTGAAAACACATCTCGCGGTTACCCAACCCCTTCCTTTCCTGGCACACGCTATATCCTAGAAATGGGGAGGGCGTGGACGCGTGCTTCGTTCGAAGTGGTTACGACTGCATCCTTTTCTTTTTGAAACGATTTCTCTGTCTTTGTCCAACGCGAGACAGGATGACAGTCGTCTCAAAAGAAAATAACCAGTGAAAAACGTATCCTAAGTGTGTTCGAATGAGGTACCAGCCACGCCCATCCTATTTGCTGGATATCGAGCGGACAAGTAAACCGGTCTGCATTTGAGAGGTTGTTCCACTTCCCCATTTCCACATCTCCAAATCTCATCAGGTGAAGGTACCCCCACGTAGAACGTGTCTTACCCATCTGGAGGTGGGGGAAGGAGGTATGCCAACTAGCCTACACCTATGAGCGTCCCAAACGTATTGCTGTGCGCTCGTTCCTAATAGAAACAAGCCTAGTCATCTTGTTCGTCTTCTTGCTTGTTTTCCTATTATTTCTTTTTTTGTCTGGTATTCTGCCCACGCAGAAATATCATAATTCTTGGAATAAACACCCGTCCAATTCTAAAGCCTCGTTGAGGACGTCTTCTACGGTTTTGCTCAGTTTCTTTTCTACTGCTAGATCAAAAAGCGTGTTCGAAACCGTGTATGGACCCCAAACCGCGCGAAGTACCATAGCGAAAGGTGTCTTTAAGTTCTTACTCAAACGGGTGATTAGTAATACGTCTGCAGAAAAAGAACAGTATTCAGTGACTTTATGACATAATAACGATGATAGCTCTATTGTGTGAGACCAAGGGCTCCATATCCCTGATTTTCGGAAATTTTGTTCATTTTCGTTAATCTTTCGTAACTGTTGATTTTTTCGGTTCCCTGTTTCTCAGTTTCGCCTCTCTTTTGTTCCTGTTGATCTCTTGCTTACACGAGTATCAATTTTCTCGTCGTTTTTTCAAGGGAGCCAGTTCCGTATGCTCTCCAGTAATCCAGTGCTACATTAGTAGGAATTTCCTCTACTTTTTCGCCCTTTGGCGCCACTCTGGCGCTAGAAATTATTCTGGAATTAGAGACAGAGGTACAGCATCGTGATGTGTGAGGTGATGGTGTAGGCAC